ACACCTAATGGAATGGATATGAGCAACACATCTCGAAGAACAACAGTTACAACGGTGAGTAACCGTCTTTTCCTTTAAATAACTTTGTTAAAAGAAACTTTGAGAATGGCAGAGTTCAATAAGGATGCACAGAAGCATTCACCTTTTGCTAAATGCCTGCAATGTTGTTGTAATTTCGAACAACAAACACAGTATTTAAAAAGACAACCAGTATTGGCAGTATATTAAGGTCACAAGCAACTCTCACCTCATGCTGTGGCAGACTTGCCCAATTTTCAGTAATCAAATGCTAAACAGCTCAACTGTTGAAGACCTCATAGGCGCCGACTCCATGGGTGTTCCGGGGCTGGAGCTCCCCTCCCCCGGGCTCCCTCCTCCTCCACCTCCTCCCCTGAGCGCGCTGCGTCCCCATTCCTCCGCCTACCTCCCAGCGCTTCCCATCTTTGGTGGCATAGCAAGCTCCAGGAGTGGGGGGAGGAGCGGGAGCGTGGTGCGCTCAGGGGAAGAGGTGGGGCCGGGGCAGGGATTTGGAGAAGAGGTTGGAATGGGGACGGGGCAGGGGTGGAGTCAGGGCGGGGACGGGGGTAGAGAGGGGTCGAGTACTCACCGGTCGGAGCAGAAGTCGGCGCCTATGGAAGACCTAATCAGACCATAAGCCCAGTGCATTTAATAAAGCTGTTTAATTCTCAGGCCTAGCCAAAGACTTCTGTGCATTGCAGGTGATGGGGAAGCAACCTGAACCAATCCCCTTCACTACAAACAATGGCCTGATGCCTGATTTGCTGGAAAAAAAGGCATTACTGCAAATCCTAATTTTTGCAGATTTGTGAGACCCAGTCATTGCCACAACATTATTCTAAACCCTGATTTCAGGACTACCCACCCAAAGTTGCAATCCAGTGGACAAAATAAACAATAAGTTTAGTATGCCACCCATGCTCATCCCAATTAATTGTACTCTGTGCAATGCTACCATGTCACTGCTTCAAAGTCCAAAAGGTACATGCACAACCTGAGAAATCGCAATTACCCGGTGAGCAACATGTAACCCCATACAAACAAATGCAACAGTTGTACTTAACATTACTTATGCAGCCATTAATCTGTAGGAGAGTAGGCAAATGGTCTTTATGACAAAACAACATTCAGCTGTTGAATGCTTCTTTCACTGACAGTGCACTAAAGTAAAAATCATCCTTGGAAATTTAGAAATTGGAGGGCAGAAGCCAAAGAGACTTTCATTGTTGTTCTTTATTAAACTAGTATATTTTTCTAAAAAAAGAAACCCTTTAGAATGAAAACTGAAAGTTTCTTGGTCCCTCCTACCATTCTCCTTTTGTGGGGGCTGCGTCTACATTAGCGTGAAACCAGGGAATGATATATGCTCACAGTCTAAGCATTTCATAGTTGATTACTGGCTTACACGTCTTTGGGTGTGGGGGGGGAGGTGGTAGAAATAAATTAAATTTTAAGATTGGAAAAAGCTGTCAATAATGGAAATTACTGTGTTTGAGAGGACAAAACCAAGAATAGAATGTTGCTTTCTTTTCTTTTGAGTCATACACCATTTGGGATTGCTGTGACTTCACCTAAAACATCACTTGGAACATGAATATCTTGAATCCATTCTGCAGTATAGTATAAATTAGCCTGACACACGACTACTGTGCAATGATTAATCACCTACTTTAGTATGTTATAATCTTCTATTGTATATCACTTCTAGTACCACGTTTCCATGTAGTCAATAACCTAAAAGAGGGAAACTGTTTTCTATGCTCTACTCAGCAAAAGGGGATTATTAAATATTTTTTAATTAAAAGAATTGATGAGAAAATCGATTGCAGTATTTAAGATGAATTAAAAGACCATTATGAAAAAATAGTGTGATTTACTAATAGTACATTTTTAATTGGTCTAGGATACACACAGGACAGTAACAAATGTATCTGATGAAGTTTCAAGTGAGGAGGGACCTGAATCTGGATATCCCTTACGCCGTAATGTAGAACGTGCTTCTAGTGACTGTGCTCTTCGAAACAGGAAATCCCACCATTATAAGAAACACTACCCTGTGGAGGTATGTTCTTTTCCCAAAAGTCCTTTTTGTAACTGGTTTGCCAACATCTCCCTTGAACTTATTTCTTCTGAACGCATTCTGGATCACTGGAATTTAGTGGTGATCTTGTCAATATTAATAATTCATGACGCTTGTTAAAAATATTCCTGTGAAGTAACTGTCTTTGGGAATCATTGCGATTTGGTGTCCAGTTTGCACAAGAGTCACTTTGAATTTAGCATGTTTTTCACTTCTTGGGGGCGGGTCCACAATATGGATAATTGGTCTGTTGCTATGGTCTTACACCACATCCCATCAGAGCTTTGCTGCTTTCTATTTTGCCTTCTAGAAGCAGCCCCATTATGCAGCAGCCGCCTCCTTTGGAGGCACATATATCTAAGAAACTAGTGGTTTCCTCTTATGTGAGAAAGAAAGCTTTCTTGCCAGAGATTTGGCAGACTGTTTTTCCAGCAATCTGTTTGCACTTTTAGTCATTACTGTGTTGATGCTAGTGCTTTCTCCATGTCATAGTTCAGACTGCACCCCCGCTTCTTTCACCATTGTCTCCAGTAAGTCCATTAGCCCATATGAGGGGAACTCTGAGTAGACAAGAAAATTTGATTCTACCTCCAAGTTCTGTTGTGAGAGGATCCACCAATGTGGATGTTCTCCTAGATATGAGTATGTAACATGCTTTAAAAAGGTTAGTTTTTCAATTACTCAGAATATGCTATATGCTATTGAAGCCACAATTGTTGCTGTTGCATGGCAGCAAAAGAAGTTCAAGTGTTCTGATTTAAAGAGCTACATAGTGAAGTCAAAGAGCAGAGCAGCAACCCAGCAGCCCCTTATTGGTGGAGTCCTTTATAGAAATGAAATTCAGATGTGGGGAACCAAATGGAAATAGAATTCTCGGATAACAACATGTATCATTTTGCTGAAGGCAAGCAGGCTTCAAAGCAAACCAGTGAATACTTAGTATTCCAGCTAGGGCTGTCAAACAGTTAAATAAATTAATTGCGATTAATCGCAAGATTTAAAAAATTATCATGATTAATTGCAGTTTTAATCACACCGTCAATAATAAAATACCATTTATTTAAATATTTTTGGATGTTTTCTACATTTTCAAATATATTGATTTCAATTAAAACACAGAATACAAAGTGTACAGTTCTCACTTTATTTTTATTACAAATATTTGCACTGTAAAAAATAAACAAGACGGTATTTTTCAATTCACCTCACACAAGTACTGTAGTGCAAGCTCTTTATCATGAAAGTGTAACTTACAAATGTAGATTTTTTTTTACATAACTGCACTCAAAAATAAGTGCCTGCAAGTCCACTAAGTCCTCCTTAATCAGCCAATTGCTATGACAAACAAGTTTGTTTACATTTACAGGAGGTAATGCTGCCCGCTTCTTATCTACAATGTCACCTGAAATGGAGAACAGGTGTTTGCATGGCACTGTTGTAGCTGGCGTTGCAAAGTATTTACATGCCAGATACGCTAAACATTTGTATGCATCCAAAGCAGTGTGGACTGACTCATGTTCATATTCATTATCTGAGTCAGATGCCACCAACAGAAGCTTGATTTTCTTTTTCGGTGGTTCAGGTTCTGTAGTATCGAATTGTAGTGTTGCTCCTTTAAGATTTCTGACGCCATGTTTCACACCTCATCCCTCTCAGATTTTGAGAGGCACTGTTGTTGAACTACTTCTTGCTGCTGTCACACCAGACAGAGCAATGATTTCCCCATACTTAAGGAGGGTAAGCACAGTCTACACAATAGCATAATTTGCCCATCCCAAAGCGAGCACACAACCCACGGGAGCCCCAAAATGGTGAGTAAGCACAGGGTCCAGGGGGAATGATTGTTTCATGGCTGTACTGTCCCCTGGGTTTCTGTGCCTTGGGGAGAGCCAACAGCTGCAGGGGGCCCCTACACTGAACACTGTCCCCACATTTTTCACAGGAGTTCGTCCTGGAAGATATCTCGCTGCTGAGGGTGACCTGGGAAGCAAGGGAGGGTCTTCTGTTACAATGTGGCTTCTGCCCTGGCCCATATGCAGCTTGCCTGTGTGCAGCAATGGTCCCCCCTGCCCCTCACGGCACAGTGGTGTGGACATGTTCGCCTGACTGGGACACAGACCACAGTGGCTCTCCCAAGAAACCTGCGCAAGCTCATTGCCCAAATTCTGGCTGAGACCTTTGAAGAGATCATTGAGGCCGATTACCATGATGTGAGAGAGCACTTCAATGCCCTATTTTGCATCTAGGCATGCATGCAGCCCTAACCCTACTTGCCCCAAGAGCCTGCACCAAATAACTTCCTTCCCAAAATAAAAGCTGCTTACTGGGAACCTCCTCTGGTGTTTGTCCTTCCCCAAGCACCAGCCGCCGTAACTGGCTACCTTCCTCCTGGCTTGAGAACAGCTCCTGGCTGCATGCATCTAGGGATTCTGGGGTGTCTTCCTCAGCACCCTCGCTCCCGCTGTGCTCCTCTTCCTCCTCCTGCTTTGTTGAACTGGGTTCTGAAGTGTCCATGGTGGTACTCGGAGTGGAGGTGGTCACCTCCAAGTATCGCGTCCAGCTCTTTGTAGAAATGGCAGGTCGCGGGGGCAGCACCAGAGTGGCGGTTTGCCTCGCAGGTTTTGCGGTAGGCATTCTGCAGCTCCTTCACTTTAACCCTGCAGTGCAGTGTGTCCCGGTCATGGCCCCTTTCCATCATGTCCCTTGATATCTGCCCGAAGGTATCATAATTACTAGGGCTGGAGCACAGGTGGGACTGGACAGCTTCCTCCCCCCAAACACTGATGAGGTCCAGCACCTCGCCATTGCGTCATACTGGGGATCGCCTGGCGCGTGGAGGCATGGTCACCTGGAAAGATAAGATGCGCTGAGAGCACTCCATGCCTGGCTGAATAAACGGGGGATTTTCAAAATTCCCAGAGAATTTAAAGGACGGGTCTGACAGTTGGTCACCTGAGGGCAGGGCAGTAGAGTTCAAACTGATGACCAGAGTGGCTAGAACAGGCATTGTGGGACACTTCTGGAGGCCGATCAGAGTGCATTAACAGACCAGGGTGTCCACACTGGCGCCGCGGCGCTCCAGCGGGGGCGCATCAAACGTTATTCCACTCGCTGAGGTGGAGTACCAGGAGCGCTCTAGCCGCAGAGTCAGAGCACTCTACATGCCTTGCCAGTGTGGACGCGTCGTGAGTGCACTGGGCTGCTTTAATGCGCTTTAACTCGCAAGTGTAGCTATGCCCTTAGTCATATTAGTTTGTTTTCCTTGGTGATTCTCTCACCGGGTTTAAACATTGTTCTTTATATGGGACAGCGATCACCAACAGTGATTCCCACCGCTCTATCTTGGCGAGGCCCATGTTAAAGAGCATTGTGTGATCTGCAGATTATTCAAAAAATAGACTCCAGTGGCTCGGGACCTTTGCCTGAAACAGCACGTGCTTGAATAGGCCACGTGGAGGGCCTCCATACTGAAGCAGGCATCAGGTTGAAGATCACCCTCTGCTTCTGAGAGTGCTGCTGCTTCATGTTCCAGAGAAGGTGCCTCTCTGAAGAAATGGAGCCGGTGTTCCCCATTGACTGCACCAAGGAAAAAGTCACATAAGACCAATTGAGGCCACTTCAGGTCTCAGGGTAACTCTTCCAGCTCCCCCATGGAAGGTATGGACTGGCACAGAGTTGGTGCAGCGTGCGGGACGGCATGAGTATCTCTTATCCTTCCCCAGTACCAAGTAGGCAGGTTAGAAAACCTTTATTATTGACTCCGCTTCTGGCCCCTGGGCATCCGTTGAGTCCAGTACCAATGAGGGAGATGCTGTTTCCATGTTGGCAGAGTACCAGGCAGCTACAGGCCACCTCTGCTTTTGGGTCTAGACCTAGTCTTTGGCCCAGAACTTTGCCAGGGCTGCATCATCTATAGCCCCATTGTCTCAGCAAGCCGCTGAACCCTCTGATCTGTTGTCACTGCACCTTAATGTTCCCTTTCCACAGGTTGTGGAAATAGGGCCGGTACTATGATCAGTACATGGGACCTCGGTATTGGGAATCTCCTCAGCAGCACTACTGTTGGCACTGCAAATGCTTCCGTGGCAGCTTTCACTGCCCTTGACGTTAGTACCACCAAACACTCCGGTACTACTGCTGACTTCACAATTGACACCACTTCCAGCATCAGCATGGTCAGTACTGATGGTACCACTTCCATCTGCAGTACTGCTTCCTGGCTTTTTCTGAGTCAGACTGGTTACTCGCTCCCTCTGGTCTCAGTCCACTCTTACCCCAGAATTCCAAAGCTCCTTGGCATCTGAGACTGAGTCATCATCCTCTCACTCTCCATCGTCTGACCAGCCTTGCAGGTTGCTGATGGATCGTTATGGGTAGCAGGATTGGCGCCCATCTCGTGGTCGGGATTCAGGCCGCTGGCCTCATGCCTATTGGCCATCAATGCCTTATCCATGCCAGTAACCTCCATGGAATCTGTGAGATGCTCCTCAGTCGCAGAGATCCCGCTCTTCGTCTCACTTGAAGGCAAGATCAATGGCCAGGTCTGCAGTGGTGGCCATCGATCCGCCGTAAGCCCAGGCACCAGAAGTTCTCCTTGTGAAGCCTCTGGAGTCGTCAGCCCTGGAACAGGATCCTGCTTTGGCTCAGTTAAGGGCCTTGACAGAACAAGGAGCAATGGTCTCAAGTTGCAGTGGGGGAGGTCCAGGTTGGATATTAGGGAAAACTATTTCACTAGGAGGCTGGTGAAACACTGGAATGCGTTACCTAGGGAGGTGGTGGAGTCTCCTTCCTTGGAGGTTTTTAAGGCCTGGCTTGACAAAGCCCTGGCTGGGATGATTTAGTTGGGAATTGGTCCTGCTTTGAGCAGGGGCTTGGACTAGATGACCTCTTGAGGTCCCTTCCAACCCTGATATTCTATGATTCTCTCCTTCATCTCTGGATGATTCTGTGCTGCTTTTCTGTACTGAAGAATTTTAAGGTGTATCAAGACTTTTTGCAGTGTGTAGCTGCTTCCCTCAGTAGCGAAGTGGAGTTTTTCCAAAAGAGCACCCACAAATTAGTGGATGTCTTGCAGCCATTTGACCTTAAACTGGCTAAGGGCCTCTGGATCACATTGGCTATTTCGTTCCCATGCCTGGATTTGAGGGATTTTACTCCCATCTGGCCCCAAATTCCCTAGTTCTAACTGTGGTGAATGATAGACCTCAGTGGGGCAGGTTTAGGTCTACCCCCAAGGATAGGGACTCTAAATGAGTGGACCTCATGGGCAGGACACCTCCTCTTCCTTACAGATGCGAATTGCTAACCAGCAAGCCTTGCTGAACATGTATGATTTTGTTGACTCAACCGCTATATCAAAATTTGCAGACCAATTGCCCGAAGCCTCATGAGAGGAATTCTGGGTATTTGTCACTGAAAGCTGCTTGGTGACTAAGACATCCTTGCAATTTGTGCTGAATGTTGCAGACACCTATGCCAGAGTGGTGGCCTCCGCAGTCACCATGAGGAGGACTTCCTGACTGCAGAATTCAGGCATTGCCCCGATGTCCTGCGAGCCATTAAGAATTTGCCCTTTGGCGGCCAAATACTGTTTTTAGACAAAACTGATGAGATCCTGGAGGGCTACCCTGCAGTCTTTAGGGGTGTACACGCTAGTGGTAGGGAGGCATCACTACGGCATTCAACAGCAGCAGAAGACTTCTTTGTCCAGACCACTGTTCCAATCGTTGCTCCTCTCTCCTCATCTCCCCGCTTTGGGGACAGGCTAGCCTGCTTTCACAATGCTTGGAGATCAATTACCACTGACAGCGAGCTGGGTTATGCCATCCAGTTCCTCCCCACATCCTCCCTCCCTGCCTCTCTTCAAGGACCCCACTCATGAGATACTGCTCCTCAAGCAGGTCCGTGCTCTGCTGGCTTTGGGAGTGGAGGAGGAGATTCCACCAGAACACCAGGATCACAGCTTCTATTCCTGGTACTTCCTGATACTCAAATCCAAGGAAGGAGTAAGACCCATCCTCTACCTTTGCAGCCTCAACAAATATATCAGGTACATGCGGTTCCAAATGGTCACTCTATGGACTACAGTAACTCCTCACTTAAAGTATCAGAGGGGTAGCCGTGTTAGTCTGGATCTGTAAAAAGCAACAGAGAGTCCTGTGGCACCTTTAAGACTAACAGATGTATTGGAGCATAAGCTTTCGTGGGTGAATGCCCACTTCGTCGGATGCATCCGACGAAGTGGGCATTCACCCACGAAAGCT